TAGCAGAAACAATCAGCCTCGTTCAGTGGCGAGGTTTTTCTTTAACTGTGCGATTCTAAATGAAAAACCTTTCGAAAGTGTACAACAGCACAAGTGTTAATGTCCTAAAGTGATTTGAAGGAAAGTTTAACAAAGCAGGTTTTATCTTTGAAGCTGTTTTCACAGAATCCATTCTGTATCCTTAGAAATTTGGCCTTTATGAGTGTGAGACGGTGCCAGCTGGATGAGTCACATCCTCCTCAACAATAAACCAACTGAGCATTAAGGCTCTCAGCACCTGGTTGAGTGGCCTCTTTACCTCAAGTCTCTTTTGACAGAATCTGCTATTTTAATCAAACCACAACAACTGTGATTTTTTTTTTTGAGCCCAATCTCCAACAATATTTTCTCTGAGCTTCAATCAAACAAAAGCATCAACACAAACTGAACTGCAGCCATCTGAGAAGTTGGTAAAGCTTTAAGTCCAGGAGTTTGAGACTGTCAAACTAATACTTTAAATCAACAAGCAGCTGAATGGGGGGAATTACTGTAGATGTCCCCTCTGTTGAATGAAACGACCAAATTTCAGTCAGGTTCCTTTATTTAGCATTCAGAGCTCTAGAATCCATGCTCCAAAGCCACAGAAAAAAGGGGATCAAGCACAAAGTGACTCCACATGATCCAAAGTGACGCCCAAAATCTTTACCTTTAGCCTATATAAAATGAAAGCATGCTCACAAACCTGCACGTAAAGTTTAAAGTGATCTAATGAAGACAAAAATATCTGATCTTTTCCTCTCAACTGTTGTTGAGGTTAAACCTACAAAATGCAATAAATGCAAAGATGTGAAATATTATACATAATCATGTTAGTTATTATCTATGAACTGCAAGTCTCAGCCTTTATTTTTGTGTTGCCTTAGAAAACGCTATTGATAATCACATAGGAGCGGGCTGGGCGATAATTCAATACCGATATATATCGATCGATAGACGTGTGGCGCAATAGAAAAAAATAGGGTCGTTAAAAGTTCGATAAAGAAACGCAGTTTTCCTTCCTTCTCATTGTAGCCTAGCATGTAGATTAATGCTAGTCACTGCTTCCTCCCAACCAATCGCAATCGTGGACCCAGACACGCCGTCACAAAGCGCCGCCCTCTCAAACCACAACACAGAGCACATGAAGACGTCGCAGCAAGGAGAGGCGGAGGAAATTGTTCCAAAGAAGGGTTTTTGTAGTTCGGCAGTCTGGCAGTATTTCGGTTATGGCAAGTCGGACAAAAAACAAACCAGAGTCATCTGTAAAATGTTTAGGGAACTAGTGAAAACGAAGTCTGATAACACAACCAACTTATTTTATCATTGTACGAGCTGTGTAGGCCCCGGCGTGGCTCTGCATCATCCTTCGAGGAATCTTCGGGAATTTCTGCCAAAACAAAGCAGCCGACCAAGCTAAATCGGGCTTCCTGGTTTGTGATAAATACGACAAAGCGTCCAAGCGGCACAAGGATATTACTAATGCTGTAACATGCTTCATAGCAAAGGATATGCTGCCGTTGTCTGTTGTTGAAAAACCTGGGTTCAAACTGCGGCTCGCCACTCTGGATCCACGATACGAAATTCCGGACCAAAAGTTTTTTTCAAACACAGCGCTGTCAGTATTTAATAACATAACTCAGGTCTCTTAAGTTATTTTTCTTTAAAACAATTCTGTTATGGCTAAAAAAGTTGGTTAAATAAAGATTTAATTGGAAGTCTGTGTTTGTGTTCTTTATTAAAGTTAAATCATTTATCAATATCATAAAATGTCCAGGCAGAGCTGCACATAAAATATGGTTTCAAATCTTTTCAATAATTATCGATATTGATCAATATGCTTTTTTTTTTTTATCGATAAGCTTTTTTTCTATATCGTCCAGCCCTATTACACACTGTAGCTTTTAGCTCTATGGTTGTCCACTTCCACAAGAAGATGAAACTGGGGTTGAGTTTGAGTTCAGCAGCGGCGTCCACCAAGGACCAAAACAGCAGGATTTGCTCACAAACACCTTATGAGGATCGACTGAATTTCAAATTCAGATCAGATTCCTGATTGGGAGGTGTTCCTGAGAGGCTGATTGCCCCTCTTTATCCCCTGTATACTAAAATAAGCCTGAAACTCAGGCTGATCAAAAAAATTCTCGCACGACTGGAAATTGGCCTCAAAAAGGTAAAAAAATCGTACAGTGTAAGCCCAGCTTTAGGCACTGAACATTTAGCGTCTCAGTTTGGCCCAGAGCTCTAGTTGGCATTCTTTAGTTGAGGCGTCCAGCAGAAACCTGATGACAGCTGACTTCTGGTGAGGACAGGAAGTACGACATTCAGCTGAACCCTCGTGACAGGAAGAGAACTGTCCTCCTGACACCCAACGGTGTCAGCAGGACTCCTCATCATCTCCTTGATGCGCTTTGGAACCAAATCCTAAATCAGATCATTTAAAATTTCACACCTTGAACAAAAGGTGATGAGAAGCAGACGCCTGGGTTCTTAAGTGGTTCAGTCAGCAGAGGAACCCTGGCAAAGTTGACGCCATCTTTGATGATTAGAAGATGCTACACCAGGTTCAATATAACCAAGGTGAGCTGGAGCCTCGTGTCCAGAAACAGCAGCACAGGAACATTTGCAGATCACAGGGTGGACTGTAGGAAAACACCCTCAATTCTGCTTAACAATCACACCCAAGCTCCAGGAGATTCTTGTCTAATTCAGGGCATGAATTGAGATGAGAAAGTCCCTTGAGCTGCCTAAGCTACGTAACCTGACTCCGCCAGATGAATTTGCTCCGCATATCCATCTGGAAACCTTCCGTAGAAGTAATTTAGGGAAGGGGCGAAAATACTGGTTAGCTGATTGGCCTATGTTGGTGATAGACGGGCCAAATAAACCAATCAGATCAACGAAGCATATGACG